CTGATTGCTCCTTTGATCAGAATGAAGTGGCCCTCTTTATCTCTTCTGATTAGTTTTAGTTTAAAGTCTATTTTGTCAGATATTAGAATTGCTAAACCTGCTTTTTTCTTAGTACCATTTGCTTGGTATATTTTTTCCATCCTTTCACTTTAAGATAATGTCTGTCCTTGAAAGTGAGATGATTTTTTGCAGACAACAAAAAGAAGGGTTTTATTTCTTAATCCATTCACTTAGTCTGTGTCTTTTGACTGAGGAGTTCATTCTGTAAATATTTAAAGTTATTAATGAAAGATGAGTATTGAATCCTGTCATTTTTATTTGTTTACACTCTTGATATAGCTGTACTTTCCCACAATAATACCTTCATTGAATTTCTTTCCATCATTCCTTTCTTCAGCTCTTTGTATTGCTTCCAGAGCTCTCTGAAGGGCTGGTTTTGTGGACATGAATTCCTTCAGCCTATTTATGTCATGGAAGATTTTTCTTTCTCCAACTATAATAAACATTTTGGCTGGGTATAGTAATCTGGGTTGGCATCTGTGGTCATTTAAAGCTGGGAATACTTCGGTCCAGGCTCTTCTGGCTTTCATAGTTTGCACTGAAAAGTCAGCTGTAATCCTAATGGGTTTTCCTTTATATGTGACTTGTTTCTCTTTTGCAGCTTTCAGTATTGTCTCTTTGTTCTGTATGTTTCGTGTTTTTACTATGATGTGCTGTGGAAAGTTTCTTTTCTGTTCCTGTCTGTTTGGTGTTCTATATGCCATTTGTATGGGCATGTCTTTCTTTAATTTTGGAAAATTTTCTTCCTTTTAGAGTATCAAGTCAATCATATCTGAGAGTTGAGGACTTCCTGGGACTTTCTGAGCATACATATGACTTGGATATGCAATGGTCTCCTAGATTTCCAAGAAGATCCTGAAATATTTTTAAGATTCTTTGGGGGGGGGCGGCTGAAGAAATGGATGGCTCAGCTGTTAAGAGCACTGACTGCTCTTGCAGAGGACCCAGGCTAAATTCCCAGCACCCATTTGGTGGCTAACAACCATCCCTAACTCCAGTTCCAGGGGATGACGCCTTCTTCTGACTTCTGCAGGCATTGCACGACATAGGTGCACTTACATACATGCAGGCAACACACTCATTATACATTAAATAAAAATAGTAAAAAAAATTCTTTGAACATTTTTCAGTTTTTCATTTTATGCACTTTATCTCCATTATCTCAAGCAACTATGACATTAAACATTCAGTGAGAACTCTATCTCTTCCTAGAGACTTTTAACCCTGTATTCAAATGAGGTACAGAAAGAGATCTGTTGGATAGGGTCTTCTGAAGCATCACCAGACTGACCAAAATAAAGGCCAGACCTTGCCTGAGGATCATTCTGCCCCTTCAATACCAGGGATACCTTTGGCTCTTTTTCAAAGCTGATGCTGCACTAGGTGGCAGGAGGAAGATCTAGAGTAAGATGCCACAAAGCTCATCGCTGTGGCTGAGATTCCACTCTCACAGTTTACTCATTTCCTCATTTCCTCCCTCCCTCTCAAACTTTCGCTTTCCTTCCTTTCTTTTCAACAGGTTCTTTCTATGTAGGCCAGGCTAGCCTTAAATTTTTGATCTTTCTGCCTTAGCTCCCAAATCTGGGATTATAGGCCTGTGACCCCACACTCAAATTCTACTGTTTTTGTTATCTAAACACTCCCTAGGTTGTTACAAGTCTTTGGTTAATTTCCAGAGGTTTGAATAAGTTGGCTCTCAGTTTGCATGTATTATTTTTTATGAACGAGTGAGTTTTCAGAGATCCTTACTCTGCTGTTTTCACCAGCTTCATTCTAATTACATTCTGAATATTTTAGACAGTAAATTTGGAAGGTAGAAAATTTTCTTGTGGGCTTCTTAATGGAAGTAGCACATGCTGGCTATAAAAAGATAAATAAAAGCATTTAAAGAAAAAACATCCCCTTGATTTGTGCTTCTTCTGTACACTCTGCCTTAATGCCTCCTTTGTTCTATTGCATTTAACAAATTATTGAGTACTACTGTATGGAAATCATGAGGGCAAGTCACTAATTTGGTATCTTGCTTGTGTTTCCTGGGTTCTAACAGCATTTGCTTTGCAGAAAAGCCCTCTTTGTGGAAAGAAATCTGTAACAAGGGCCAGATAACAAATCTGAATATAAGGTACAGTAGGTGGCATTTTCCCAGCTGCAGCCTCCAAGTCACACTATAGCTCAGCCTTGTTAACCTTCCTAGCACACGGCCTGTGCATACCAGATAGATCACAACAGTGAACATTTTACAAGTACATCCTGTATCTCTCTTGTATCCAGTCAGTCTGAGGCTGGTTTCTCTCCCCCAAGTCAGGGTATCCTCAGACATTGTAAGCCAATTTTCATGTTACCCTGTTAAACTGTAGGAAACATTTTTTGCTAATGTAAAGCTTTTTTTTTTTTTTTTTTTTACAGAACAATGGTTTTACTTGAAGTAAATAATCAGTAAGTTGTTTGCAAGGAGTGACTCCAAGGTATGACCAAACAACAAAAGGCCACAAACTGGTCTTCTAGCTTTTGGACCCACATCTGGGTGTTTTGTTGAGCTTCTGATGTACTGTCCATGTGCATCTGGATGTCACACTGCTCTATAGGAGAGAGGCAGTTCAAGTTTAGATGTTTAGAAGTGAGGAGTCAGCAAGGTCTGAAAGCAGGAACCAGAGCTGACAAAGGTTTGAGGGACAGAAGCGAGGAAGGGAAGCATGGAGGGCCTGGGAGGCAGGGAAATAGACTCTGATCTGTCACATGTCTAACCAGCTTCTGTGACGTTTCATATTCAGGGAAATGCTGTGAGATTACTGTGAGATAAAACCCAGCACACCAACCCTGGCACTCACCAGCCAATGTACAAGGCTGCGCATGGCAGCAGCATCCACAGACAGCAACACTGACAACAAAGGCTGTTTTCCACCCTTAGGTTGCACACAGAGCCTGTCCCTTAAGCAACCTACTAGCACCCAGGTCTTTGCCATGCTTACTTGTCTCTCCTAAGTTTCCAGACCGCCTTTCAAACTACTGCCACTTGGTGCTTGCCAACAGTTTAACTTTGATAACTATTTTATTATAATTGCATTATGTTCTTTTATAAAAATGAGTGGAAAAGACTGAAAATTACTCTAAGTAAAGGTCTTGATTATGATTCAGCTTGGCCAAAACCAAAAATGATAGTAATCTCAAAACTGCATTTAGTCTCAATTAGATTTTGTGCAGTTGACTGGATGTCATACATGAAGAAATATAAAAGTATACAGGTTCAAGGCACTAGAAACTCACCCCTGGATCAAGGGGGTAAGCATAATTAGTAATTTAAAGATGTTTTTGCTCTGATAATAAAATACTGCTCTAAAGCATATGTAAACTGTTCAATTCACACACGTTTAAGTAAACACTGAAGGCTTTGTGCATGTTGGGAGAAGGGAGACTTTATGGGAAGAATCAAGAAGAAAGCAGAAAATATCAAACCAAAATCTTCTGGGCCATCATTCTAAAAAATAACAAAAGGTTTATTATTGTCCATTCAAAATATTCAGCAAAGTTAGTCTTCTTTACACTTCGGAGTTTTCGTTCAATAGTTCACTGTTGTTATCTGTGAATAACAAAGCATAAACAATTTGGCCAATTTGTAAGAATAAAAATCTTTGCAATTTCTGAGCACTTAGTCTAAATATTGCAATGATCATCCTAACAGATTTTAAAAGAGCAGGACATCAGGTTTTTAAATCCCCAGGATAGGGTTTTGAGTATGGGAGTTAAGAGATTTGCAAAATTTGTCTTCAAATGCTCAACATTAAGCTCTAATAACTACTGTAAAAGAACACTGACTTCTAGTTCCTGTATCTGGAAGCCTAAATAATTCTTAATCCTCCTTCAAGACCACTCATGGACATAGAATAGGCTCTTTTTTGTGAGCCTACCTGGGAATATAACTGGCGGTATTCCTCTAAAAGGGCTGGGTACCTGTGTTCTAACTCATAAGAATTAAAGTATGGGTGTTTCTGGGTTTCACTGTATTTATATTAATTTAGGTGCTGTATTATCATAGAACCTATTGCCACTTACTGAATCTGAGTGTTCATAAGAACTGCTGCAGTCCAAAAAGTAATAGTCTTAGACAGAGTCCCCCTGTTTCTGAGCCCTTTGTCCTAAGCATTCATCTAACAGTTTTAATCCCAGCCAGGAAACATTTGGCAGTAGATAGAGTAATGTTTTTGGCTGTCAGAACAGGGGAAGGTGAAGGAGGGGTTGCTATAGGCGTCTCACTGCAACTGGCATCAGAAGCCAGGGTGGATGTTAAAAATCCTATGATGTGCAGAATAATTCCAAAAAGCAAGTAAGTATCCAGCCAAAAATGTCAATAGTGTGAGTTTGCGTTCTTTTGAGTTTTATGTTTTAAGGATACTCGGGTACTGGTGAGGTAGGGAGCAAATTAGGAAGATTTTATATATATATATA